TTCCATAAGGTCGTAGTAGTAGCAAGTATGATAAATATTGTAAGAAATAGACAACTTTTTTGAGAGACATGTTTCGGCATGCTTATGCCATCTTCAATCAATGAGTAACAGAACGTGAGTAATTATATAACAGACTAGTAGATGAATAAAATATTTACAGTATGATGTAATACAAAAGCGGGTACTAATTACAACGTGACACCAAACATCAAAGGTGTGAACTAAAACGCTAGAAAAGTGTTATAATGCTGTAATTGTTTGTTAAGTTCAGGTTTGATCTTATTTATATGAAAAGCTTCTTTGCGTTTTAAATCAATTGAGTTGTTAGCAGAATCCAGAATACTAAAGCAAGAAAGGGAGTATTTGTTCTTACAAGAAGGAGATGTGTTGAAATGCTTAAAAATATGCGAGTTTTCATCGCTTTCCGTGTGCTCCTTTATCCTAGTAGAGAAGTGGCGACTAGTTTCGCCAATATAACGGGAATTACCTCCCGCACAAGAAAATTGATAAACTGCTATGGATTTTAGAGCACCAGGAGTACGATCTTTAACACTGAACATGTTTTTAATTTTAAAAGAAGTAAAAACTAGTTTGATATTTAGGTCCGATTTACAAAAGCGCTTAATGAGTTGTCGGAGTCTGAGGTTCGCTATTCTAGAATAATAGCCGACAAAAGGGAGTTTAAAGTAACGTGTATTATTGTCATCAACAACTGATTTCCAATACTCATCATGGACACGAGATCATTAGCAGAATTGATTCCTTGTTTGTTATTGTAAATCAAAGAGCATAAACTCATTGCAACACATTGTTGTCCTGAATTTTGTCCAAATATCAATTTATTAGCTTGGCTATATGGTGCCATTATTGGTTTGCTAGGGTCAGTGTACACTGGAGTAGGACCACGATTTTTCTCAACATCTGTACTCAGTTGAAAATTACAATAGTTTGATTCGCGTGTCTGACTCTTATAAAGACACAAGGGTCTCTTACAAGAAAACATCGATAAATACTACCATGCTCTGTACTTCAATTTCATTATCCTCTGATATACCCTCACTGAACAAATTCAGTTTTCTGCCCTTTCTTCTGAGACGTTTCAGAGTAGCTTCTGGTATTCTACTGGGTTCTCGATCACGTCTCAATACACGGTTGTGTTTACATGTAAACATAATATCCCATAACTCGTTTGATATAGCAGGTTTCGCTTGATATTTCTCGATAAAAGGTTCACTCGTAAAGGATCACTCGTAAATTGATCTCTCGTAAAGTTCGCGGAACGACACGTTCCCAAATCGCTCCACAAGTTTCTAGTGCAGTTCTACCGCGATCGGCTTGTAACTTTGTATATACATTGGGTGTGATAACCATCGAATTTCTTTCGGGTACATCAAGCAAGGAATTGTCCACAAAGGCAGCCATTGCTTTCTTGCTTTAGCCATACACTCAATGGTTCATTCTACGCATGCGCCTACATTTTACTTGTGCGCTGTAGTAGAATGCGTTTTGTGACTGAACGCAAAAAAAAACAAACAAACAAACAAACAAAAAAACATACAAAAAAACAAAAAAAACCGAAGCCGAATTTATACTTCGGGCGTTTCCTTCGGAAAACTCCAGTAAATTACTTAATTTATGGTCCTTGTATGGTCCCTGATGTTTCCCGAAACGAACGACTTTCGGGAAAACAAAACTGTTTCCCTCGGGACCATGCATTAAGTGTATAATATTAACTTGGCCTTCGGCGAATTGTTGTCAAATATATCTCTGCATGCTGTTCATTACGAGAAAATACGCATTAATTTGCGTTAATGGGCGAACAATTGCGAGGAAATATAATCATTAGAGACAGAAAAAAAACATCATTTGCCCGAAAATCAGATTCATCAACGACTTTTGCATTTTAATCAGCATTCAATAACAATTTTGGGCATTCTTTTACGTCATTCGTCAAACAATTCATTAAATCACATTGTTTGCAATTCAATAGCATTCCTAAACAGCATTAGTATGAATAAGACAACCATTTATACGCTTGTACAAACAATTAAGCATTTTTTATTTTCAATATTCAAACATCGAATTCCAATTGAAAAATGCCTATTCCAAAATTATTTTGTTTTGAATTTCAGTCTACCCTTCAATAATCTCTATTCAAACATTTTGGCATTTAGGTCTGCATAAAGCGGTACCATTGCGCACTTTTAGCCGCGGTCAGAGTGTCGATGTTTCTGTGCAGAGCTTTAAGCAGTTGTTGTGTTCGAAACTCCCCCAGTGGTATTCCTCTGGCCCTTGCCTCATCTCTGTTATTCATGCGTCATTGAATTTCCGGATGCAAGATGTCAGCTTGACGCCGCTTTCAGACAGCTTATTGCCTCTACGATGTTTAGGAAACGACTGCATGGAGGAAGCATTTTAAGCTCTGCTTGGGGTGGGAATGATCAGGTTTCGGTGGGCCAGTGCTCCGTCATACACAAAGATAGCCTCCTCGTCGGGATCTAGATTTGTCCTCGCCTGTGCCAAGAAGTTATCGAAACGCGCAGCATTCATTCCGCCAACAGGTGCTGAGGAAAACACAAGTTTCGTCCTCGCTGGCCGCACACTTGACGGTACGCCCTCTCTCCCTACCGCGCTTGACGGTGGCTTCTGGGCGTCCAGATTTTGTAGCCGAATTCGTCGACAAACACCCAGTGGTGCACTACGGCATGGTTCATAAACCAGGTGGCGTAATCCACTCGCTTGTTCATCACATCAGGGCCTTGCAAGTTTCACTCGGAGGAGCATCCCTTCTAATGTCCCTGCCACGGTGCAGGCATGGATCTAAGGTTTTAAAGGTAGCCGTCTCCTCAGTTCACTGTTTATCCGAGCAAGTGTGAATAAACAGTTTTCGTTTATGATTTCCTCTAGGCAGTTTCTCATCTCTTCATTCACGCACACATTGTTTCTACCTCCTTGTGGTCATTCCTGGATCCTACCCTCTCTAATGTAGTGCGCCACAATGCCTCTTGCCGTTGATAGGTTTATTTATTTATTTAGCTTCGCCTAGTTATCTTAGGCAGGGAGACCACTACAGCCTTAGCCAATTACAGTGGATCCCGCATCTGACAAGGCAAGACCCGGCCCATCCCACCCCAGGGGAGGGTATCCACGACAGTAATCTCGTGCGTGGGAAATTAACGTCTTCTACCAAAACCCTGCAGGAGACGGGGCCTACGGTTTATTCGTCCTTATCCGAGAAGACTAGAATATCTATCCATTTCTTGACATTATAGAAAGGTAGCAAATTCTCCTCAGCGGCGCTCTAACCAATTGAGCTAACCGGGAGGCGAGTCCGCGACCACAAGATAATCTTCCTCCTCGTCCTCAAATCCTCTCACGATTCTCTCTCTGTGTTCGAATGATATTCGGTTTCTTCATGGCATTTTGCCCGCGGTTAGAAAACCTTTACAAAGCGAATGAACTGGACAAAGTTTACTGAATGTAAGTTCTGGCAAAATCGGTGTTCAATTGAAAATCGCTACTTACATATTGAATATAAAAAACACTGAATTGTTTGTAAAAGTGCATTAATGATTATCTTATTCATACTAATGTCGTCCAGTAATGTTATTGAATTACAAACAGTACGATAAAAATGTTAACTGAATGAATGGTTTATGCACTAACTTGTTTGTGTACATGTATTGTCTCTATTGACTTTCAGGATGGTGCAAATGACTTGAATGTTAGCGCAAATGAAAGTACATTTTTATCTTTTGTTTGACGAATGACGAAGAAGAATGCCCAAAATTGTTATTGAATGCTGATTAAAATGCAAAACTTATCGTTATCGATTCTGATTTACGCGTAAATAATCGTTTCTTGATGTTAATTAATGTGTTTGTACCCAGTTGTTCGCCTTTTCACGCAAATAAATGCGTATTTTCACGTAATGAACAGTAAAAGGTGTATAGGGATGCGTACTTTTCTATTGAAATTCATCACTCTTCGTTTCATTTGGATTGGAGTGTGTTATCAGCTCCACGGCTCCTCGATTGGTCCATATTCCATCCACAGAATACTAAAAGCCCTTTCGGGTTAAATTGGTTCTAGCCTTCTCCACAAAGAGTCCATCTAAGTCCGCATAAATGTATAACTGGACGACACCTTTCTGCCACCTGCAGCAAACGAGGAAGCTATATCCAAAACACTCAACAATTCTTGCGCTCTACAATAAATCTGAAGAAAACCCTTCTCGTTCCCATACAATTCCTGGGCCGGGTTGTTCAAAGCTGGTTTAAGATAACCCAGGATTCGCGTGAAATTTGATTTCAGATCTGAAAGCTTTAAGAGAAAGTTCAGTTTAATTATTTTGTGTCTACAATTTGATGATTGGATGCTCTAAAAAGAACGGGGAAAATTATCTCAGAAAGGTCCTCATGAATAGAGAAATAATGAAACCTGAGTCAAAATTTAACCCTGGGTTAGCTAATCGGCCTTCGAACAACTGGACCAAGAAGTGTATCCGGAGCTTATGATATAGTTGACTAGCTTGCATGCAATCGTGATTATTCATAATCACAGCCATCATAATGATTTTATCTGTTCTTCATTCTCAGTGCAAAGTCAAGAACAGCTATCAGGAGACACCGATAACGTCGTCGTTAACAAAAATGACGGCTTTGAATCTCGAGGTTTGTTTGACATTATTGCTATTGTCTCATTCTTGAATTTTCACTGGTAGTAGCTCTTGGCTGACTCTCTATTCTTACCTGACGATAAATTACTATTTAGGACAGAGCGAAAAAAGCAATATGTTTTGAAAAATTTAGTATCTTCGAGAAACTATTTAACAAAGACCAGGAACGCTAAAGGGTAATTCGACATGATTCATTCCTTAAATAAGAAAATTTAGGCGATAGAGAAAGCTGTGCATCTATTTACAGGGAATAGCANACTACACTATCCTTTGTGGTCCATACAACAAAGTAGCAGAATTTGCGCTTTGTCAGGAACATCTGGCCTTGACACTGATGCCAGTAAACATGTGTGGTAGACAGCGTATAATTCCCTTCCTTCTCCTCCAAGTAAAAGTCTTTGTGCCCACAAGCTTCCTTGATTGTCGCATTTCGATGTGTGTAGGGGCACTTACACTCAATCACCGAGTCGTCTCCCACAAGTCCATCAGGGGAAGCACCCAGAACTCCCGACTCGTGTAGCCAAAGGCCGGTCTGTACAGGTGTAAAGTTTGTGATGTTGGTGAAGGATTTCAGGGCCTCAGTCTCATTGTCCTGTCCCCATGCAATTGCTTTAACTCCACTCAAGTTGTATTCCCCAAGTAGTCGCTTGATAAGAGACGGTGTAACTCTTTTTGCCTGGAGGACGGAGCCAAAATTACTGGCAGTCAGGCGGCCTCTACGAGCTTGGTGCCATGCAGGGCTGTTTCGCTGGCCAGCCGTGAGGGTGCTCACAACATTTATGGTTCTCTCCTCTACTTTGGCATTCTCAATCAAGTACTCTAATTGTTTTTCCTTCGTAGATGCCATAAGGAAACCTTCTGAGTAAATGATATCCTCAATCGTCTTGATCGGGAGAGGGGTAGCAGGTTGTGGTTCGGGACTCAAGATCCAGCAGGTCCCTGTAAATTTGCCATAGCGCTTTAGTTCGCTGTACAGCCACATCCGATCTTCTCGGCTAGGATCGCGCGCCAAAGGGCTGTAATCCTTCTTCTTCGGTGGCGCTGGAAACATCTGGCTTGCAGACTGTACGCTTTCTGCCTTTCGCTTTCGTTTCCATTGGCATTCCAGGTCCGTCCTGCTAAGGTTATGGATGCCATAAATAAATATGGCTGCCGCGTGACTGCACTTGAACTCGCCGCGAGGACACTCGCATTCTGTGTTTTTTATTTCAAGGTTTTCATCGAGATAAATCTGATAAAAAGATAATTCGAAACAGACACGTAAGTTGCAATATATATTCCGCAATATAAACATTAAATTGGAGGTGAAATCGGGGTTGGGAGTTCTTCGAATTGAACATACGTGTTGTGATCCCAAATTGGCAACTTACTGTGACTTTGTAGTCCTTATTTTTCATGCTTGCTTGGACTTCACCTTTGATGACTCCCCTGGAATAAATAAAGCTTTGGACATGGTCGGATTTGAAGTGGTTTTCTCCGCGATCAAGCGATTTCCGCTCTCCAGAAAAGAAAGAAACGAGTGAGCATATCGATAAAGACGCCATGTTTGAAGTATCAGTTTCAACTGTTTAGACCAGAAAAAAATGCTGTCATGGCAACGTAACGTCACACTTTAGGACTCTATTCGTTGCGGTTGTTAATTTCTTATACATTCATTACATTTTGGTCACGTTATTATAGGATTACCGACAAGGATGTCACTTCATACTTGACCTTCTGCTGCTGGAACTGCTGAATGCCTCTGGACATCAAACGATGAAACTGAGTAGCATGGAGATAGCAGTGAAACGACGAACTGGTAGAGACTTTAGTGCTTTGCACGATGTTGTCGTTAAACCTGAAATAAGTTCACTGGGTGTCGAGGACTTCATAGACAACGATTCCCGCCTCTTAGAGATAGTTAATTCGACGGATGAGATAAAAACAAAGGATAACGGGTACATTTACAATCCATCAATGCAAACGGAGACGAAGCTCGATCTTTCACATGCTCGCTGTTGCTCTTGTTGGGATTACGTAGAAAAGTGTAGACAGGCACCAAATGCTACCACGGCCATAATTAATGGAAGTACCTTTGATGACAAAGCAGCGGTGGAGAAGTGGCCATGCGGAGTGCTTGATATTCTCTGTTGGTTTTGTCCAAGAATTCACCGGATAAACATTACGGGTTGTAAAAGCCTTAGTGACTCTTCAAGAATAATTGATTGTCTGGATCCTTCATTTCTTATCCATTGCAAAGACGCCGACAGGCACATCCGAAACTTCATATCCAAGGATTCGACATCACCCTTAGTAATTCGTGAGGATTGGTCTCTTCTTCACAGCGCCGTATTTCTTGGGGACGTTAACCTGGTAAAGGAGCTTCTCACCAAAAGAAGTTGGGACGAGGAAGATATTCTTAAAAGTTCGGTAGAGATGGCCATTGTTCAGCACAACTGCGAGGTTTTGAAAGTGTTCAAAGAAGAAAGTAACATTCATGGTTTCATGAACCCGTTAAGACTAGTTCAATTGAGTCTACTAACGCAACATGGTAGCACCTCTTACGTCCACCACCATCTTACGTCTAACCCTCACCCTGTAGAGGTCATAACCACAGACAATGACGTCTTGCAAGCAGCAAGGGATGCGCACAACTCTCAGGATTGCAATTTTTTTGAACTACTTCACATAATCTACGGAAAGGATGAGACGAGTATAAAACTAAAACTTGAACTTCTTGAGGGAATATTTCGAACGATACAAGTCAATGTAACATCCGATTTTCCTCCACTGTTTTCTTGCTGGAACGAAAGCGCAATTTGTGAGGCTGTGCAAGATTTAATGAAAGAAACTGGAAGCCCATCTTACAACAAAATAGAAGGCTCTCCCTATCTCACGTTCGCCATACCAAACGTGCCGCTGGCTGTATTTTTAATCCATGAAGGTGCCCACGTCGACCAGACGGATGATTCGGGGTGTACCACTCTTTTTCAAGCTATGAGCGAGTGGCTGATTCGTCCTTCTATTCAAAAGGAATTATTCGTTGAATTTTTAATTTGTAAAGGAGCTAATATCAATTTTAAAAATTACCGTGGAGAATCTCTGCTTGTGAAGAGTTTGTCGACATTTCAGGCTGATAGGGATAAAGAAGATCATTTGCTAAAGATTTTGCGTTATCTCCTGAATAACGGAGCCAGTGCCAAAACCAAAGACGACTCTGATAGCTCTCCCCTCCATATACTTGTTAACCTCTCTCGCAAGTTGTCATCTTTAGTAGTATGCGAAGGCATTGAACTCTTACACAAAAGTGGATGTGCAATTAATGCTAGAGATGCTGAAGGGAACACTCCATTGCACTTGTGGGCGGGCTTAGAGGTTAAGATCAAAAACTTTGAAAAAATTGGAAAAAAAATAATCGATTGCGGTGGAGCCGTCAACGCAAGAAATGACTACGAAGAGACACCACTGCATTTCGCACAGTTCTTGGAACAAGTAGAATTGTTACTTAAAGAAGGGGCACTGCCGAATGCACGAGACCTCCGCGGAGAAACTTCTTTTCACAAGTTCGTTCGCAAAGAGACTTTAATAACAGATAAGCTAAAGGTTGGTCGATGGAAGAAGTGCGTTACCTCTGGAATGGATCCATGGAAAAAAAATAACAGTGGAGTTTGTCCATTTCAAGTTCTCTTAGAAAAGGGCTTTCTAAAAAGCTCGTTGAGACTATTAAAAGTAGTTTTCGAAAAATGTGGCAATAAAGAAACAACTGAATCTGCGCGATGTTTTAAAGATTCCGAAGGGAATTCCCTATTACACTTGGCTTGTATCACTCAAGCCGAGGCCATTTGTGAATACCTGCTTCAAAAAGGATTCAACGTGAACGATCAAAACCATTGTTTGCAAACACCGCTGTGCTTAGTATGCAGCAAGGTGGGAAGTTGGACATCTGAAAAGATGCAAAACTTCATCCTTCTACTACGGAGATACCACGCTGATCCTAAAATACCTGATGGTGATGGAAACACATGCCAGGCATTGCTTAATGGATATGAGGCCTTAAAGAGATCACTGAGAAAAAATGTCAAGAAAATGGAAATTTCACCAATTTTAAAGTGGCGCAAGGAGTCCGAAAAACACATGAATGCATTTCACGACATTTCCTCTGGTAAAAACTGTCAAAAAGTTGGAAGGTATCATCACCACCAAGACTGTATTGGAAAAGGGTCGTTTTCGTTAGTCTTTCCTGCTCTGGATGAAGGAGACGGAAGAGAATTAGCACTAAAGCGACTAGAAAAAGCCAGGTTGAAAGAAGCACACATTAAAAGGGAGATTGATTGTCTCATAAAACTGAACGATTGTCCTGCTGTGGTAAACTACATTTGTAGCTTTAGCAGCTCTGACTTCCACTACATAGCTGTTGAGCTTATGGAAGGGACACTAGATGATTATCTCACAGAGCAGATGGGAGGAGATGCTGTTGATATATGTCTTGCCATACACTCTGGCATAAACTTCCTACACAACAATGGAGTTATTCACAGAGATTTGAAGCCTCAGAACATCTTATACAAAACTACACCGTCGCTAATGATAAAAATCGCAGATTTTGGGCTCAGTAAAATTCTACAGAAGGCGAAATATTTTGGATTAAGTGACACAGTTATGCACTCCAGGGCCGGAACAAAATGTTGGAAAGCTCCGGAACTCTTTGCAAGGGGCAGCCAAAGCAAGCATAGCAAGGGGTCTGATATTTTCAGTTGTGGTTTGCTCTTCCATTACACCCTAGCCAGCAGAAAGCATCCGTTTTATGACTTGGAAGAGTTTCCAGCACAGCTAGAGTCTCCTGATACAACTGAGAACATAAAAGATAATATCAGAAAAAACAATTCAAACTTTTGTCCCTCTCTTTCGCCGGAGGCTATCCATATTTTGACAAGAATGTTGTCACCCGAACCTAAGGAAAGGCCAACAGCTTCCTCCCTAGTGAGCTTTCCCTTTTTTGGGGATAAGGAAACGAGGAATGACTTTCTCAGGAAAGTGGGAAACGAGAAGGAGTTCATAGGGTCCAGATCTGAAACCTCTCACTCGCCGACTGATGTAGAGATAGAACTACAGAAACAAGTAGGGAAACAATGGAAAAACGCTTCTTCGTGGATATTAAACAGCTCAATCTATGCTGTATATTTGGAGGTCACAAGTCATCCTAAAGCGGGAACTTACCGCACAAAATCGGCTGTACATCTTGTTAGGTTCATACGAAATACGTATGAACATATCAAGGACCTTTCACCAAATGTCCAATCTTTATTGGCTAACTATATTTTTCTAGAGCATTTTCCTTATTTGGTTACAGAAGTTTATAAAGCAGTTCAACCGTGGAAAACAAGACCAGAACTGAAATCATTTTATGAGTAGGCTATATCGGTACGTGCTGATGGAAATTTTACACTCACCATGATATATTTTATTTCTATAATTCGGACTCGCATACCAGGTCCGTTTGGCGTTGGATACTGACTGTATCATTTGATATCTTTACTTCTTTAATTTGCTGCCGTATTGCCATACCAATACAACCTCGACAACATATCAACGAGAAGCTTTCCATGTGCTCCTATTCAAGTAGTCCTCAGTAACAGCAATGACAATGATATACCGCAGCATTAAAAAAAAGTTGGTAAAGATTTTCTCGAAGTATTCTAGGGATCAGTACAAATTAGACATAGTGCTAGAAGGCTTGTTAGCTAGATGGCTTGTTAGCTTAATTGGTAGAGCGCTGCACTAGTATCGCAGAGGTCAGTGGTTCGAATCCCGTACAGGCCTGATTTTTTTTTTCAGGTCTGATTTTCGCTATAGCATAAATAGCGCTATCTACTGCGAAGGATCGTGCATCATACGTTTTTAATACCGCAGTTCAAAATATATGAACTTCATATATTCATTGTATCACATAGTGCTAAGCCAATTGTTCGGCATTCACCTCAAGGTGTTCAAAAGAGAGCTGAATCGAGATAAACATTTTCCGTACAGAAAGGCACAGAGCTTACCTCAAGGATTGCAGACTTCCAAAGCCTTTAAAAACGAAGGTTGTCCCGATTGTGAAGGCCAAGAATGGGTTTTGGTATGTTACTGAAGCTTGATGATGTCAGTTAACGATGTTGGCGTCGCCTGCCCTTTGGAATAAAAGGCCTAAAATGTGCACTTCACACTCAAAATGATATATCACCTATTAGTGGAAAATGTATGGGAGACGAGACGTTGGTAGACCATAATAGAAATATCCATTCGCTGATGCAGAGGTGCCGTAAACAGTATATAAAGCTGAAAAAGGACGAAGAGTAACTGCCACGCAGGAAATAGGAAGTCATCTTAACTCTGCGGAAGGTTCTAAACCCGAATCCGCGAAAATCAAGACAGTTTTGATGCTTACGTTTATCAATGGTCCGGAGTGCGAAATTTAAATTTATTTTAACCCTTAAAGATCTTATCTGTGTAGCTTACACTTTTTCTTCAGGGAGATAAATTCCCTCAAGGCACACAAGGTCCACCACATTGACACAGAAGTTGAAGGCCTAGACTGCAAGGCAAAGCATATCGTCTCTAATAAGCTGAAGTCGCGAGTGGAGGTATGCATGTGAGACTTGCTCTTCAAAATACCCTTAACGTGATGGAAAGGCAGGAACAGCTTTCATATCAGCCAAAACCATTATGGAGAAAAATCGAAAAAGCCGAAATTAACTCTCATCTAGCGCTTCCTGAGTTCAGGAATATGTCCAGGCTGTTCAAGAATAGACGCTGATGCAGTGCTGCGTCTCACTGAAAAAAGGAAATCCCACAGCTGCCTGCATTCACTTAGCTCCTAGGAGCGGTTGCTAACTACAATGTATATCAGAAACTTCTTGCCAACGACAACCGATTAACGAACCTTTACAAACGAGGGAGGTCATTGCATCGCTTAAGAGTGGAGATACAGCATGTTTGGCTCCTTCATAGGATTTGACTCAGGAAACTATAAAGGGTAGAAAAGCTGGTCAATAGGTGGCCTACGAGGTGTTACAGAAGATGGAGCTAAGTATCAAGTATCACCGGAATTGTCGACACCTGAGAAGATAAGGCAAGCTTACAGAAGAAGCAACATTGCATTTGATAAAAAAATTGGGAGTTCGCACCCAGCAGCGCAAGGCAAGTCTAATGGCGTTGAAGCTCCAGCAGGCAATTGCTGTAGTCCCATTCATATTCCACAAACAGAAGCACTAAGTGATCTTGTATATGATGCAATCGGGGCAGCCTGAATGACGTAATAGACTATCAGCATTGCCGAAGCAGGTAAAGCAGTTTGACCCCATCTCCTCCCCAATGCCACTCGGGCATCTCTCTCCCGCAAGTTGGGAGATGCACGCATAACTCAATAACATAATCCGTGATTAGCTTCCGATTTCATATCCTTCGTTTCTTGACCAAAGAATGCATTATGAGTGTTATAGTATGGAGATGTTCTGTATTGACTGTCCGTTTGTTGTGAGCCCGCGTAGTATGCAGCGGTAATGTTACCATGTGCTCTTATTAATATAATCTTGCTGTTGACCTGCCATCTTGTGTGTGTGTATACTCTTCTGCAACCCAAAAACATAACAATGAGTTTTACATTAAGTCCACCAGTTTGACAAACATCCCCTCCGTCTTGAGGCCCTGAAAATAAACTTATAAGGGCGCCTGTGGTATTTGCTCTTAAGTCTTTAAGAGTCCCCTATACTTTTTACGTGAAGCGTGATTGGGCGATTTTTTTTCGCGCGAATCGTGATTTGACTTTTTCTTTATTTGTGACTCGTGATTAAAGATGACAAGATCTTTTCATGTCCACGGGAACGAGTTCTTTTACTTAAACGTGGCCCGTGAACTGGGAGCTGAATTAAACGTGATTCATGAACTATCTTGTTTTTGCATGAAGATTTTACGGCTATTTCGTTGCTCTCGAAATCTACGTATTGTTTTTAAACGGCTGTGGCTAAGTTTTGAGCAGGGTTCTAGCAGGAGATGGACTTCATGTGGATCGATTAAAGTCATAAAACAGACCACTAATTGCTCTTGGACGAATATGAGACATAACGTCATCTTTTGTCGCGTAAGACCGGTCAAGACTAGAAAAAGTAAAATATAAATTCAACGTGACTGTCTTGAAGTTCGCGTGAACGTGAAAGAGTTTTGCATATTATTCGTAATGCGTGAAAAAGCGTGACCCTCGTCTTTGTCCCTTCTCACAGATGTAAACTTTTCAAATTGAACTCCTCAGTAAGGAAATGCTTACAACCATCGTCTTTTTCGCCATTATAAAATCATTTTTAAATTTCTTCGAATTAATTCAATTATCTATTCACTGGTATATTTAGTTTGCTTTGATCGTATATTTAGTTTGCTTTTCTTTACTACAAAGGACTCCTGAAAGTGATTTTAAATCCTTGTTACAAACTGTTCGTCAAAATTCTTTCCTTGATCGCCATGGCCAGTTTTTCGACAGCAGAAGACAACAGTTTTTCGTTGTAGTGAGCGATACTCAGCCGAATGCAGTTTTTGACGCTATTAGAGCTCGATGAGACTGTACAAAAAGAGGGGAAATAAAACAAATATAGGGGAGTCGGGAATTAAAGGCCCATTTCCATCCGAGATCCTTTGCAGTCGTTTGTTTTTGTTTTGGAATCGCGCTATTGTTAATTGGCGAACTCTGATAGTCCTTCACAAACACTATTAAAAAGAAAAACAAAGATTTGGTGAAGAACACAGTAAACAAATTTGCAGCTAAATATTTGAGACTGAAACATCATAAATCGAGTCTGTGTATAAGACTTGTACAAAGCTTACTTGATGTTGAAGGAAATTGTTCGGCTTCAACACTAAATAAAATATAAACAAATAACCAATATTGGCCAAACCTGATTTACTTTACGCATTTCAATTATAGCATAATGACTTGTACAAATTAGATCGCTTACATACATATCTGAGGATCTCAAGTAAAAATCAGTCAAATAATTATTCTCACCTCGAAAAAATCTCCCCGGAGTCTCTAGTTCCATCGTAGGAACAATGCAATAACATTTCTGCAAAAGCACTGT